GCCGCCCGCGCGGCCGGGCGCAACTTCGGAGGGCCCGGGCGGCTGCTGCGCTGCGGAGGAGCGTCCGGCGGCCGTCGCAACCGGTTGCTTCGGCCGCCGTGGTGAGGGGAGCGGGCCTGCACGTCGCTGGGGCTCGCAGGGCGCTGTCAGTCGACCCCGCGCAGACCTGCTCAGGGGCCCGCGCCGCTCGGCAGGTCCGTGGCCTTTCGGATTCCTGTTCTTGAAGTCTGGTTTTGGATGCCGACAAGGGGGCGGCGCAGGAGCGAACAGTTGTCCTGGGAGCGAGGCCTGCTCTGCGCGGAGCAGAAACGCCTGGTAAGATCGGGCAGACGTTCCCGCCGCAAGGATGTACGTTAAGTTTTTCCCGAGGCGTCTGCTCTTCGCGTGAGGTCTGAAACTAACCCGTCGAGCACCGGCCAGCGCCAGTGTTGCCGCGCGCGTGGAGCAGGGCGGGACCCTGCGCCCCGAGGATGGGCTCTTATGGGGGGGGCTGCTCCCCGCGGGGCCCTCAAAGCGGTGCCGGTTAAAGGTTGTGAGAGGCGTTCGCGGCATTACTTAGCAGTGATATGTTTTTGAGTCAAGTAACACACGGAAGAGATCTGAAAGGAAATAGGAGAATTTTTGCCATTATTTGCATATACTTTTTCCTGAACCACCTTTGTTAGATGTCGTGCATAACTTTATTGCTTCTGAAGTAAAATGCCTGAACATGTCACTGTTAGCTTGCCAACTTGTCCAGAGTGGACGGAGGAAGATGGGTATCTTTGTGTCTGTACCATAGGGGCCTGGTAACTGATGTTTTGAGGCATATACTGAATCCTTGTAGGCCACGGATAGATCCAGAGTTCAGATTTGTTTGCATTATCAGAAAAGTAACGGCCTGGTGGAAATGGGAGTGGCCTGAGATCCGGAAACGCAAGTTACTGCCATTGTCATAGGGTGAGGGCCTTATCTTGGGTACTTTCTTACCCTCTCTGTGTAGATTTGATTTACCTTATTTCCAAAATTAGGATGAATAGATCATTTTTGTGAGTGCTTTCAGTTCCAAAATTTGGCGACATTTTTTCTTTAAATGAAAGAATTTTAAAGTCTGTTTTGAGACGTTCTATATAAGCGATCGTACTATTCATCTTTATAAAAAATACATTTGAGAGAAAATTCGGGATATAGGACAGTTTATGTAATTTGAACAAGATATTTACTGTTTCAGTGTGCTTCAGAAATTATTTTTTGTTTGTTTCGAGACAGGGTTTCAGTATGTAGTTTAGGCTGGTCTTGAACCACTGTGTAGCTCAGATTGCTCTCGAACCCAAAGTGGTCCTCCTCTCTCAGCTTCTGAGTGCTGGGATTACAGGCATGTGCCACCACACCTGGCTAGTTTGATGACTTTTGAAAAAGATGAATGTATTATGTACTGAGAACCTCACTCAGATCAAGGTGTAGAGCATTTTCAGGGCCCCAGAGGGCTCCCTTTGGGCCCTTCAACTCATTAAACGCTTGCCTCCTCTAGAGGGCAACTACTACTCTGGTTTCTGTCACCACAGATGAGTTTTGCCTCCATACTGAACCCTATAGAGGTTAAAGGCAGCAATATTAATGATTGAGCTGTAGGGCAGGAGGTGTGTAAACTTCGAGTTATGGTGATTGTAGCCGCGATCCTGTAATTTTATCAGTTAGATTTGTTGGTATTTAGACTAACTTAAAATGCTGACTTGAGAGTCAGTCAAGTGGTCATTTGATTTTTAGCTGAGGCAGTACTTTGCAGGTTTAGGTCTGTGCAGTACTTTGCAGGTTTAGGTCTGTGGTTCTTAGTCTTTTTATGTTCAGTATGTTCAGGCACAGTATTCTGTTACTCGATTTTAGAAGACAGGTGTATTTGTAGAGAGTAAATTTGAGGGATGAGTCATGAACTTTCACAGCAAGACACACACATGCGTATATATGAATATGAATGTTATCTAGCTGGTGAAATCATTAAATCTCCAAAACAAAAGGCAACTGAAAATTAGGAAGGTTTGGAGTTTTGAAAAAATCACATGATTAAGATACTTTTTGTATTAGTCCTCCATCTAAGAATGTAGGATTTAAAAAATATTATTTATTGCAGCAGGTACTTCAACAATTTGCTTATACTTCCTAGATGTTTTCTTAATGTATGCATGTGCTTTTCCATGTTTCTACTGCTAAAGAAACAGAATTCTCACTTTGTTAGTTTCTAACAAAGGCCTGTGGACATTAGTTTCTAACAAAGGCCTATAAGGACATTGGCATCATAGAAAGTAGAAATGGTCTAATTCCTATGTTAGGTTATAGTCTACGAAGCTGAAAGGTTGTCTTTTGTGAAATGATTTCACCCAATAAAGCAAGTATATATTCCTGTGTCTAAATTATCTAGCCAATTCATGGGCCAACTAAACTGGATTTGGTCACATCATGCAATATTCAGAACAGTGTTAGCCAAGAGTATTATTGTACTTGATGAAATAGCTCTTGTTGAGCCACTGTTTTATTTTGTTGGCTAGTTTTAGATTTCGTCATTTTTCATTATCAGATTATTTCATTTAAAATTTGTTAAATCTTTGAGAAGTACAATTAAAGAGATACAAAATAAGAAATTATACATGAAAGAGAATTTTCTCTCTTTGATATTTCTTTGTAAATTATGATTTTACTCTTTAAAATTGCTGTGGATATCCATATCTTACTGCATATCTAGGTGCTTTTGCTTTTGCAGTGACAACTAGACTGGGTTTAGCTGTAGGATGATGTGTAGAAAAAATGTCATTTGACTTTAAGGTATGTAGGAAAGGTGTTCTGTCTAAATGTCTATTATTATTTTTATTTTTTTAAAGACAGGGTCTCAGTATGTAGCCCAGGCTGACCTTGAACTCACAGTGATCCTACTGCCTCAGCTTCTGTGGTACACCACCATGCCTGGTTTAAATGTCATTAGTTTTTAAGAAAATTACAACTTTACATTATGTTCACATTAAGTGGATGCAGTGTGGGAGCAGACTTTAGATATTTTGAATACTATTTTTCTGTTAAAAATTTCTGTTTTAGCTGGTCATGGTGGTACATGCCTGTAATCTCTGCATTCACTAGGCTTGGAGGATTTGAAGTTCCAGGATACATGAGACTGTCTTACAACAAACAACCCCGCCCCAAAATCTGTCTTACAATTTCACAAAACTTGATTTTTGGGAATTTTTTGGCTAATAATATTGTAGTGTAATGTAACTAAAAATAAAAGAATATGTGATCAATCAATGGTGCAGCTTTGTTATGGCAGGGTATTTTTCTTTTAGTGAAATGCATGTTACTTAACTAGGGTGTTTTGTATTTGAAAACAGTATTTCTCCATATACATAGTTGTTAAATTGGATGGAAGTGTCTGGGGATTTTGGTTACCTGGGAGATTTCGAGCTATTAGACCTTAGGGAGTGGAGTTTTGATAGGACTCTGCCATTCTTCAGGTGATACTAGTCCCACTGGAAAATGACTTAAAATAAAAAGGTTGTGGTCAGGTTGTTGCCGATTTATATTTAAACTTTTTAAAAGTGGGTAGAAGAGTAAGATCAAAGATGTTACTAATAGAACAATTACATGATTTCATCACAGAAATTTTGTTTTGCTTTAAAAGTTTTTTTTTAAATGTATTTAGTGCATGGTATATAGGGTCTCACTACTAGATTGGACTCATAGTGATCCTCCTGCTTTCAGGCCTCCCAAACCATAGGATTATTGGCGCATGCCACCATACCCAGTCTCAATTGCAGTCTCAGCATGCCCCAGGTGCTGGGCCAGCATGGCACATCAGGGATCGAACCCCAGTCCCTGGCTCTCCTTTTTTTTTTTTTTTTTTTTTTTCTTTTGGAACTGGGGATTGAACTCAGGCCCTTGCGCTTGCCAGGCAAGCACTTATTCTACTGAGCCATCTCCCCAGACCTCCCCCCCCCGCCTTTTTTTTGAGACAGGGTCTTGCTGTGTAGTTCAGACTAGTCTTGAACTCATTATACAGAGCTGACTGGCCTTGCATTTGAGGCATTCTCCCTGCTTCAGGCTCAAAGTACTGGGATTATAGGTGTATGCTACTGCACCCAACCTAGAAGTTTTAATAAATTTGATTGTAAACTCTTTACTATAATTCACAGACATCTGAATATAGTAATTTTTTCAGTCTCTCTTATTTAAGAGAATGTTTCTAAAAACTTTGGCTCTTTGTCTTTAGGTGATCACATAAGACTATTTAAAAGCAAAAACAAAAGCAAAAACACATAAAAATACAAAAAACCCCACCAAAAACCCCCCACTACATTCTGTCATTCTGTGTGTGTGTGTGTGTGTGTGTGTGTGTGTGTGTGTTTTGAGACAAGTTCTTGCTATGCAGTTCAGGCTGGCCTTGAGCTCACTTTATAGGCCAGGCTGGTCTCAAACTCTCAACCTCAGCCTCCAGAGTGCTGGGATTACAGGTGTGTGCCACCATACCTGACCACAAAAATATAGTCTTTGTGTTATGTTCCTTATGACACTTTGTATTTTGATAGTTTAATAATTTCAGTGGGTCAAACACTTCATTGTGCAGGGAAAAACTGTAAGGTAACTTTTTTTTTTTTTCTTTTCTGTATTTAGGACAGGGTCTACAGAGTCTTACTGTGTAGATCAGAGTTCTAGTGATTCTCTTGTTTTCAGCTTCCCAAGTACTGGGATTACAGGTGTGCACCACCACGCCCAGTCTAGCCCCATCTCAGAACTGCCCTGTGGGTGGGGCCGGCATAGCACACTCTGGGGATTGAACCCTGGCTGCTGTGCTCTGCCTAAGCAGGAGATTTAATGAGGTAGCATTTTTAACATGGTGTACAATGCTTCTTTTTTGATGTTTTTGTTTAGTCTAGAGAAAGGTTAATTACTAAACTGGTTTGGTGTGGATAGAGTAGTTAGTTGAGTGTATCTGTTGTTTGGGGGAAAGGTTGAGTTCTGGGCCTGAGATACCTGGAAATAGAGGAGACAGAAGGTTGTTTAGTGGCAGCCAGAAGTGTGGAACACTCATATATTTGGAATGACAATATGAGATAGGCAGAGAAATTTAGTAGTTATTAAAATAATTGCAAAAAGGAAGTTTTTCTTGCTGGTGTTCAATTTTAAATGTTGGTGTTCAATTTTAAGTGTTAACTAACCAATACTTTGAATCTCAAATTTTATTTATACCTTGAGTTTTTTTTAACTGTTCAAAGTGGTTACTATAAAGTCCTTGCTCAATGATGAAGGCTGTGTGGTGTGACTAGGTTTTCATATTAATTTGCTACCCAATCTAG